TTCTTTATGGTTTTGTTTTTGTTTTTATCACTTTTACTCTTAAGTATCCCACATTTTGATAATAGATCTGCCAAGTAAAGTGAAATATTGTAAAACGTTGAACATAAATTAGTCATTGATGATCTATACATTTTCAGCGTAAAAATGTCTTTCCCTTTCATATAAGTCAGCATTTTTTAATCGAAATTATGTTTAGACTGATTAATACAAGCAGCTAATGCATTTAGTGAGTTGTTTTCTAAAATATCCCATTCGAGTTCATATAACATTATATCTAAAATCCTTGAAGTTTCTCCTATATATTTGTTGTGTCAATTATTACAGTTTATAGAGCAAATTCCGCCTTCAAGTTTTAGCTTATTATTATTCTGTTTTGTATTAAGTCTTTTAATTATTAGAAGTTGTAGCAAAGTTTATGTTAAACTTAGATAAATTATTTTCAGTTGTAGCGGTGATAGATTTGGAAGTAAAGTATTTCGTTTCATTAGATTGATTTGAATCGTTACCTTTTTATTCTGAAATATTTGCATTGAATATGAAATAATTAGGGTATTGGAGAAGCTTAAATTATTTTCAAATTATTTCTTCTCATAGTGTAAATTCTGACGACTACAAATTCTGACTGCTCTTAAATAAAATAAGATATTTCTTCTATATCGTATTTTGTTATTATGGTGAGAATAGAAATTTATGAGCGCCTTCACAGTTTTTTCCACTTTGTCATTCACTGATCTTACAAAAATGAAATGTCTATATCATATTTTCTTATACTACAGTAATATAGATTAACCAAAGCATGAGCAACTTTTTTTGAGTGGTGAGCACCATGATCTCTAGTTCATCACAAAGCAGGCGGCACTACTAAAAATATAAAAAAGTACGAAAAATATTCATAGTAAGTTTTCCTAGTATATATTTCGGTTACTTTCACTACAGAAGAGCATATGCGTAAGCAAATACCTTTGAAATGGTGGGAATTTTTTTTTTTTTTTTTTTAAAATATTTTTTATAATTAAAAAATTGATGTCTTGGTATAAAATTATCACTGATGACAGTGTGATAAACACAGGTCGCTGCATGGGATTTATTTATAATTCATTCGTTTTTCTTTAGAGAATAATTCTTATGAGCCTTTTTTGTTTCAAAAGCAAAAGATGTTTACACCTATAATATTGCTTAGTGAAAATCGGCAATGCTTTAAAATGGCGGAAACTTACAAAATTCAAGAAACATTGTACTTAATCGTAGTTTATGCATATGGTTATGTGTGTGGTTATATGCGAGAATGTGTGTGTGAAGAAGTGAGAACCAAACAAAACATTTTTAAGAAACGTTATTTCCCTTATGAAATTAAGCATGCCATTCAGAAATACAAGAAAAACCGCATGTTGCCCGCGCGCCGCAATTTGCCCATGACAGGAATAAACAATAGTATTATTATTATTGAAGATGTAACTGTAGATTTAGTCTTGTTGGTAAGAAATCTTGCCAGAGTTAGATTTTTTCCAGAGGAGTAGTCCTTATGTAGACTTTTCATACTTCTTTATTACTTATTCAGTCTGCGTATTTTAACAGTTTTCGAGTGTGTCGTTAAAGAGTTGGGGCAAAGTAAGTTTAATTAAATTTCAAAAAAGATAAATTGCTGATATTTTTAAACGTTTCACCCCCAAGCAAGGCGTGAAGCCACTAGGTCGCAAGGGGTTACAGAAGACCTGGAGCAAGATCAGATAGGAGCGACAGAGGAAAGGATAGTGGATAGATCAAGACAACTGGAGATGTCGATTGACATTACATTTGAATAGTTGGAGATTATAGCTCTCAGGGAAACTGGAATAGGGAAGGGAGTTCCTCAGGCGAGAGGTGCGAGACATAAAGCTATTGGAGTAGAAGAGACGGCTACATTTAATAGTTTCGACAGTGAAAGGGTGAGAGCGGGATACCAACCACGTAGGGCGCTTGAACTCATGAAGTCTGGGAACCAGCGAATGCAGCTCCTCGGAGCAATTGCCATGGAAGTATTTGTAAAAAAGACAGAGAGAGGCGACGGCGCGTCTGTGAGAGTGTGAATGTAGATGAGATGCCAGAACAGGGCCAATTATATTGCATATCCGCCTCTGGAGCCTATCAAGAACCCCGAGGCAAACAGAAGGGGCTCCAGACCATATATGGCAGCAATACTCCATGCAAGATAAATTGTTGATTTGTAGATCAGGAGGATCGATTCCGGGGAGAAAAATTTCCCGGCGCGGCACAGGGAGACAACTTCCCTTGCGGTGGACGAAGCAATTGACTCAATGTATTTGTTCCATCTCAGGTCAGCAGTCAACGTGAGAACGAGCAGCCGCAGAGAGGTGCTCTCGAGAAGTTGAGCGTCAGACATTCAAAGGGTAGGAAGGATCTCTGTGGTGATTAATAGAGAGCAGTTTTGTTTTTGAGGCATTAAATTTGACCAGCCAATTCCTGCCCCAGTTCACAACCGATTGGAGGTCCTTTTCGAGACGCACGGCCAGGTTAGTTTTGTCAGCGACACTAGATTTGTTTTTGAGGCAGGAGTAAATTGTGGTGTCATCCGCGTAGATGCTAACTTGGGAATTTATGGCGTCAGGAAGGTCATTATGTAGATAAGGAATAGAGTGGGGCCTAAGATGGAGCCTTGTGGAATACCTGCGTTCGTGGTATAGGAAATGGAGGAGAATCCGTTAAGAACGACTTTCAATTCACGGTTTGACAGGAATTATTGTCTTAGATCAAACAATCGACCCGTAATGCCATAACCCTGGAGCTTGCGAAGAAGGCCGGCATGCCAAACCCTATCAAACGCTTTGGAGGAAATCACGGAACGAGTCCCAGTCAGCTCGTTGATAGTAGAACGAAGTTCTAGTGATAGGAGGTTCTTTGCAGGGGGTGGAGTTGAAGATGTTAACAGACACTACAGCATGATCAGAGTTACCAAGTGGACAGAGATGCGTGGCGCTACAAGACTCGGGGATGGAGGTAAAACACAGACCGAGAAGAGAGACTTTACCTTCCCGGTTGAAGGCAAAACGAGTGGGGAAGTTAACTATCTGCGTGAGGGATTGAGAGACTGAAAAATTAAATATTTGAATGCCTGCGTGGTCAGTAGTAGCATTCTTAAGCCACTTGGTATGATGGGCGTTAAAGTCGCCAAACACAAATATGTGAGCAAACGGGTGGAGAGAGAGATCCTTGTTTATACTGTCAGAAACGGTCTCGAATATCCCACAGTCTTGAGAGGATGGAGAACGGTAAAAGAAGAGATAGCTTACCGCATTGAGACAGTCGGTGATATATGTACGACTGGTCTGGCGATTCGAGAGATAACTCCCCTGCCAGAGGGAGATGGTCATTGACCTAGACACTAAGGCCGTGCATGTGGATCAGAGATTCTTTTCTGAGTAGAGGAAGATTGCCTGGGATCGAGAGATCAGATGAGGGGATAGACGAGACAAGGTTGGTCTCACAGAGAGCCAGTATACCCGGGCAGTTTGCAGTGAGGAAAGATTCCATACTGCAGAAGTTTGTTCTAATGACACGGATGTTGGAGAACGAAATGTTGAGTAGTTTATGTGATTTTTGTGTGGCTGGTTTAGGATTACTTTTTCGGTCTTTGTAAGTCATGTGGAATTTTGGTTGGAAGATGAGAAGGCCCGAAGTAAAAGAAGCAGACAGTTATCGATCGTGACGTGGGCAGAGAGGAGTTAGCACAGCCTGCATCATAATGTGGTCTCAGAGTTGCCCACCGGAGGTGACTGCAGGGACACCTTTCCATGCGCGACATGGCACTACAAACACCCCGGTATTATACAACTGTTGATCAGAGCGGCCGCTTAAGACGCTACGCAAGAGTTAGGGCTCCTAACAACCAGTTGGAAACAGCAACCAGAGAACTGTCAACCGTGTACCCTCAGAATGAAGAAGTAATGCCACAGACTGCACACATCACGGGAAAAACTGAGCTGCACTAATACAGAGGCCAGAGAGAGAGAGAGAGAGAGGAGAGAGAGAGAGTAGCCGGAACCCCTTCCTAAACAAGAAACAATATATATATATATATATATATATATATATATATATAGAGAGAGAGAGAGAGAGAAAGTTTCAGAAAGATTTGTTTATAGTGTATGAAATTTATGCAGTTTGTGACTGTAAAATTGCGTTTGATGTTTATGTAGAAGAAACGTGAGTTGCATTAAGTTCTGATTATTTTCTTGATCATTATACCAAGTTTTAATCATGATAAAAAGAGAGTTATCTAACCTTTTTAAAAGTTATTTTAATGTCTACACACCATTTGCTAAGTATATTAATAGGAATTCTCTGTTCAGTTTTGTCCTCTTTTATAATAAATGCTACTTCTGACTGAACTGGGTACTCGAGACATTGATATGTTTTTCTTTTCTTTAAAACTATGCATTAGACTGAATATTATTACATAATCTGCAGTCATTTCTCGTGGCCATTGTTCCACATTGTAAATTCATAGATTATGTCAAGACATTTATATGCATATCACAAAAAATCAGCACGCAATCTGTAGATGTGTTTGACGCAATAAATTATTTTCCACATTCACGCTCAGACACACACTACAAATTATGCATTGTATAATATATATATATATATATATATATATATATATATATATATATATATATATATATATATATATATATATAAAATGTGCGTGCGTGAGTGTGTATGAAGGAACATATAGTTATGTGTATAATTATATGCATAAATACACAGAAAAAATGAAAAGTATCGACACAATTTTAATGCTCGTGCGATTATTATATAACATTGAATGCGCACATATACACAAAGTATCTATTTTTACACACATACACGCACATCTATACACACATACACATATATACATATACGTGAGTGTGCGTGAGAGAGAGAGTGGTATACACTTTTGTGTTTGAAAGTAATTTTGTATGCATACATGTCGATATTAGTAAAGTCCTTTCATATTCATGATCTACCGATCTTTCCTTTGTTTTGCGTTTTGAAAATATGTTTTTTTAATATAAAATTATATATTTGATAGGCATAGAAAATACAGAACTCAATTTGAATATATCGTAATAACAAGCCTGTCAGTCAAAAAACATGTAACAGTGATGTGGGCTTAGATTTCGAAATGGTGATAATCCCCTAGAGGAAACACGCTATCTAGGATCATTTTTTTCTTGTTCTTGTTCTTGTTCTTTCTTTCTTTCTTTCTTTCTTTCTTTCTTTCTTTTTTTTCTCCCCCACCTTACTTCCTTTTACTTCTTCCTACTCCTTATTTTCTTCTTCTTCTTCCAATGTTCGTCGTCATCCTCATTCACCTTGCTTTGTAACACTTTTTTTCTATGTCTCTCACATCTTTCTCTTATTCACCTTCCTTTTCGTCATCACCATGCATCATGCTTTTCCTCCTCCTCCTACTTCACCACCCCCTCTTCCGTCGTCTTGTCAACGTCGTTATAATTCTCTTTCTTCTGCTTCTTTTCTATTGATTTTCACACCACTAATGGTCGTCACTAGAGTTTTAACAAATCTCTTCCAAACACCATCGCTCATCTCCGTACTCTGGCTGTTTTCAGTAACCCCATTTGTTGGATTGTTCCAAATCTTCTAATTTTCAACTGTTCTTTTCTTCTTTCCCAGGCACTTCTAGATAGCAGATAGTGCTTCGATAACTACTGGAACAACTGTCAACTATATGTCCCACATTTAAAAAAAAAAAAAAACAGAGCCAGTTAACTGACAACGTATTTCTCCCGAATAAAAACGGCTGTGCGACGTGGCAGAGAGGCTATCATATGTTGGCGGGACAATAAGTAAATGGTTTGTTACTGAGGTGATTGATGCTACCGTCAACATTCCGACTCCAGAGTTTCGTAAACGGACACTCTGTGAATTATCCCGTCCACTCGTCAGCAATTATCAGCAATTAACTGCTTCTATTTCTCGATTTTTTTCTTTTTATATGCTCTTTTCATTGGGGCAAGTTTTTTTTTCCTCCTTCATAGTGTATGTACACGTGTACGAGTTTGCGGGCATCTGGCGACACGCCGCTTCTGCGCGTGTGTGCGTACGGGAAAAATATCCTGATTATTTTCCTTTTCGTCGTTTTTTTTCCCTTTATATTTACTCCTTGACCGTTTCTTTCTTTTTCTCTTTTTCCTCTTTTCTTTCAATTGTTGACGTTTGATTTCCGCTTTTCTAGACATTTGCTTTAGTTGTTAATTTCGGAGCGTTCTAGTGTTTTCTGACACATTGCATTTTTGTTTTTTGCATAAACAATTTTAATGCTTAAATAATAAATTAAATATATGGGTCTTCATTTGGCCATTGTTTCGTTTTCTTATCTAATTTGGTGGCATCTTAAGTACTATTAGGGTATTAATTTAGGGTATTAATCTTAAGTACTATTAGGGTATTAATTTAGGGTATTAATCTTAAGTACTATTAGGGTATTAATTTAGGAGGTTATGTTTGTAATTGGATTTTTATTTATTATTCTTTGACTTTGTATACATATTCTTATATTCATAGGTTTACACACGCACACACATACATACATACATACATATATATATATATATATATATATATATATATATATATATATATATATGAATAGATAGATATAGATATAGATAGATACAGATATAGAGAGATACATACATACATACATATATACATACATATATATGTATAAAAACGCGCGCACACAAACACCTGCACAACAATGTCTGTTTTTTGAGACTAAGAGCTTAAATGTGATTATTTTTCCATATTGTTAGAATATTAATTATGGGTGGCTGGGTTTGTGGAGTATTTTTTGTGTATAGAATATACAATATATCCTCCCGTACAAAGAACCACGCACCCTACACACGCACAGACATATCTACATTTTTAATTAGTTTTTTTAAGGGTTAAATTAAATATTTACTCATAAGTAATATATTATAATTTATCTAATATTTCATTTTTATTTAATAGCTACTATATTTGTTGGTGTTATCTTATATATTGAGGTATTAATTATAGGTTAGTTTTGTTCGTTTTTAAATAACGAATAAATTTATGTCCATCATTAAATTAATATAACGGGCCCATAAGTGACGGTAACGAACCCGACTGGAATTTGAACTCGGTCCTTCGATTTCTTATTAAGAGCTTTTATCCATTGCATCACACAGCATCTAAAATATATCAACTTATAAACAATATTTTAGAGCGATACAGAAGAAAATAACAAAGAAAATGTGTAATTTAATTAATTAATTCAAAATAAGTCACAGTGAAGTTAAGCCAGTGTACTCAGCCGAAAAAGGGTACAAGTTAACTTCAATTAGTTGAGTTACAAGACACTAAATTATCCACAGCAAGACCCTATATTATCTAAAGCAAGACACTATATTATCTAGAGCCAAACATTTAATTATTTTAAAATACTTCAGTGTTGGAAATACTTTCCACCTTCACTATCGTATAATGAGATATTACAATGAGATATTATAATGAGATATAATATTATAAAATAAAATACAATCTGGGTAGAATGTGTTAAATAATGAACAATAATCCATCTTAATACTTCAGAAATCAAACCGTATCCTTCTGCGATCAGATTTTCAGTTTTTTCCAATTTTTTTCAACAAGCGCCTCATATGGGCACAAACATTTTGTCAACGCACCCCCACCACCGTCAAATTTCGAATATTGTACTAAATTCATGATTCATATCAAAGTAACACTTAGGGATTAATGAAAAATAATTTGTTTTCATTTCCATTATACATGTCAATGTTTAAAATGTTAATAAGAAAATAATTTGATAGCTTATCTCGATGTTTTCAATGCGATGGTTGACTTTAGTACTTACTGACTTTAGTACTTACTTTAGATTCCATGATTCTTGGAAGTAATCGTAGATCTTCTCGTTTTGCAATTTGCAGGTGGTTTCTTTTTCCAGTAAGAAGCAGTGTAAATGCGTTGAAACTACATTCAGCCATACTGGAAGTTGGGACAGCAATGAAAAGTTTGACTGCTTCCTACAGCTGTAGATACCTTACAGAAATTTCCTTTTTGTAGCCAATATTGAATAATTTTTGAAATTTTAAAAACAAAAATGGATAAATGCCCCCGAACCCCAAGTAAGTTTGCCGCCTCCCAAATGAAATAAACACGCCCAGTGCCCACTTTGAACACATCAGTACCCACAATGGGTGCAAACACCCACGTTGTGAAACACTGACATAAATGAACCCATATATTTTGACTATTTTGCATAAAGTTCGTATTTTTAATGTTTTCAGAAGAGAATTTGGTAATATTTCAATATATTTCAATGAAAGCTTTTCTTTGCATAGTTATAATTTATGATTATAATTTATGGTTTTAGTTTGATATGGAAAATGGATTATAATTATAGTTTCATATGGAAAATTAGGAGTTAGGTGAAGCCAGGTGCACATAGGTGTATTATATAAATATTACCTAGGGATTATAGTTAGTATATACGATTAACTTGAGAGATATTCATTGATTATCAATTATTTATGTTAATTTATTTATTGTATATAGGTTAGATTTAACTACTATAAGTTTATTGTTGGTTTATCTTCGATGAATTTATCTGGCTCTGTAATATCGAATCTTGTCTCTAGAAGACACGACCGTTCTAATGTTTTAATTTTAGGTCTGTGAGATGCAGCATTTTTTCAGCTAATAACATAAGCACCGAATCTATATATTTCCAGTGAACTTTTTCTATATTCACCAGTTTTCTAATTTCTTACTGTAACCTTACGTAAAATTATAGTTTGTTCACTTATTTGAACTCCGCCAATTTAACTCGTGCTTTCGAATCTTCTTCTCTGGGGTATGCGAGGGACTCTAACTTCCGCTTCACTAGCCGGACGTACACATATAACTTCCTGTCATCCGGTTGATTTTTTTTTTGTGGGCATGTATATCCTAAATTCAACATGTTTGACTTTCTAATTTATGTCGGCGCACCTACTGACATTTACTTTAGTCCCGATTCAGTACCTAGTGACCGTGAGGTTATCTTCTACGTCAACACTAGATGCAACTTGCAAATATGATGCTCTGATATTACACCAAGTACAACAGTTATCGCTTAGGGTTAACCCAATACATATAAGGATACGTGTAGATAAATGCCTCTTAGACAAAGGATCCCGATTGACAGTAAATTTCAATGGTATTTTCTAGCCTGTTATCACATACATGATGCTATGTGGCTGAAATTCTTCGGATTTTCTCAAAAACCCCGAGATGAATAGCACGAGAACCTGACAAGATATGGCAGCATTACTCAATACACGGACGAATGGTAAATTT